AAAACACCCCCCCCACCCCCCCCACCCCCAAGGTATTCCTGGGGCCGACGTTCTACCAGCGCTTGAAGCACTTGGTGGACGACAAGATCCACAGCAGGAGCAGGGGGCCCGTGATGAACCTGACGCGGCAGCCGATGGAGGGTCGAGGGCGCGACGGAGGGCTGCGCATGGGGGAGATGGAGCGGGACTGCCTGATCAGCCATGGCTGCGCCAACTTCTTGAGAGACCGGCTGTTCATCAACTCCGATGCGTACCGGGTGCACGTGTGCGACAAGTGCGGCCTGATCGCCGTGGCGAACCTCCGGAAGATGAGCTTCGAGTGCCGGGGGTGCAAGGGCAAGTCGGACGTCTCGCAGGTCAGAGAGGGAAAGAGGACGAGGAGCCTGTGTGTTTTGTATTTTTCGTGTTGCGAGGGGTTTACACGAACGAGCACATATTTCAGTATTTAGTATACGAGCTCAGATTTCTGTAGTTAGTTTGGTGTTTTTTTCACGCCCCCAAGTTGTGGCTAGCTGGCCTGCGTCGAACGTGCACATCTACTACTCTTGGTCGGCGGCGGAGGCACCAGAGTAACTCGCCCGCGGAACCCCCGTCCTCCTCTGCAAGCATGATGACCAGCTCCTGCTTAATCCTTGAGATATGTAGCCTGGGCAGGCGAAAACCTAGCATATCGCTTCGCCCCGGCATTGTAGAGATGCGAGGTCAATGATCTAACGACTACGGCATGCGTTTACGTCAGTACCCCCCCACCCTCCTGTCCGCCGTCGCCCCCAACCCTGCACATACCTTACGCCCGCTGCGTTACTGCTTATCGAAATTTCAGATCCACGTGCCGTACGCTTGCAAGCTCCTGTTCCAAGAGCTGATGGCCATGTGCATAGCACCGCGCATGTTCGTCCGCGCGGACGCCGGGGCGGTGCAAGTCCAGTACTAGTTAGATTTTGTGCTGGTGACATTCGGAGTTGGGGGTGGTGGTCGTGAGTTTCGGGATCACCGGTAGGCCCGTCGGTGTTGCCATCAAACCGGGGGGCACCGCGGACGGTATCTGTCACGTATAGGGGTGCCGTTAAGGATTGTGTGCTGCCGTAAAGACTGCCGTAATTGGAACCATGGGCGAGAGTCGTGGGGACAATGCCTCTTCCGCGTGCGTGTGGGCGCGTCTTCTTTGGAGAGTGTGTGTAATGTTTTTCCCGCTTGGAGGCTCGCCTGAAGTTCAGGGGCCCTCAATGATTGTGGTTATTAAACACGTGGGAGTTATAGTTTCGGCGTCGCGCCGTGCTGCGACAGACTTGTCGAATGTACACGTCTTGCGGTGGTGTTGTGCTAGGCCTGTTGTTCCGCAGTGTGGTGTCGGCGTCGTCGGTGCAGTTGAAAACTTTTTTGCTCTGACCTAAAAGAGGGAGGCCGCGTTGTGCAGGCAGGCCTTGCGTATTTCGCCCATAGGATGATCGAAATCGTTGGACCGCTTCGGTCCTCTCTTTGTCTCTCTCGTGTTGGTTGCGTCGCTCTGTAGTAGGCGGGGCTGCTGACCGTACTCGAGAGGAGGAACTTGCTTGTGTAACGGTTTTTGACCAGTCCATGCTAGGTGGCATGGCTGATTGTGCATTGGACACTACAAACAACGATTTCAACAAATATCCCCGAAGAACGCACCGGGTTTGACCCAAGATGTGGCACAACCTGGGATGTCCAAATTTGGGTTCGACGCAAGATATATATGTGGTACCCCCTGGGATGTCCACATTGTTTGTTTCTTTGGAGAACCCGCACGTGCAAGGCGGAGCGGCTGTGTAACTCTCAAGGAGGTACCTACCGTATATGACACAAGATAACACACACCCTGGACCGATTTTCAAAGCCCGATTACTCCACGACGAAGAGGATGCATATATAGCCGAAAGGACACGTTTTCAGAGAGCTCTCGAACCAGACGGCTTCAACGCCGCCGTTTCCGGCCCTGCGACTGTTGCTGCTTTTGAATAATCGAGCTTTGAAAATCAATCCAGGGGGTGTGTTATCTTGAGTCATATATGGGTATTCGTGACGCTGCCGGTTCGCAGCTGTTGTGCCCCCCCCCTCCGCGCACCTTACCCCTAACCGTGGGGAATTTCGGCTACAGGAAGTTGTCCCCGTAGCTGGAAAAAGCGTTGTCCCCACCACCACCAAGAACAGCCTGGCCGAAGAGAAATTCGTTTAGCGTCGTCGTGGCACTTGGCTAGATCGATTGAAACCACAGATCGGCAAAGGAAAGCAAAAGTCTGTCCTTCCTCAACCCGGAGGCGGGGCTATCTACCGAAAGCCCTGGAAATCCAATCCGTTCGCGAACTGACGATCTAGATGTCAACATCTGATCCTTAGAGCTGGTTCAGATCGTTGATCGTTACGTTTTCCCTCCGCGTGCTTGGGCCATTTCTTCTCCACACGGAGTACGTACGTGCTGCGCTGCCATATGACATGCAGATACGCATACCTACGTCAAAGAATAAACAACTCCCTGCGAATGAGATGTTCCAGCTCGACCCCGAGCTTGCTCCGGTCGAAGCGCAGCCCCTGGTCGTCCGTGGAGGCGTGCTGCAGGCTGATCTTGGCGTCGGACTCTCGCGGGGACGGCAGCCCGTTGAGGAGAAGGGCGTCCCTTATGACGGTCTTGACCGCTTCTCTTGGTATCGCACCGTTCTTGAACCGATCGGCATGGTCTAACCAAACGTCAACCTTTAGGTGTGTGTGTGGGGGGTGGGGTGGGGGGGGGTTGGGCCGGTAGTGCATGAAAGTGTCGGGCTCAGGTTCGTTTGAGATTCATGTATACCCAATGCCACTTGATTGAGTGGTTCGCATTTGTACATTCAGACCGTATTTCCATCTTTCACGCTTCTTTTTCCTTCTCTACTCTCACGTCATGCCTGAACAAGGGACACGAACGAACGCCATTCTTTCGTGTCTAACCAATGACAAAAAGTCAATGCTTGTGACGGGGGGGCTGTGTGGTGATGTGATAAATGGCCAAATCCACCGAGCCCTGCGCCATGAGCCACTCTGATCATCATGTATGCGCGCTAAACGACATTTGAACAGAAAGAACGGTGCACGCACCGGGAGTGGTCTTGATCAAGATACAAATCCACGAGGGGAGCAGCAAGCAACAGGATAATAGTGCTAACTCGAGCGAACAGTGTCTGTTACGACAAAATAACCTAAAAAGTACAAAGCACCAGTCAGAAAGCGAC